GACCAGTTCTTTTTGGTACAGTGACTCCATGTATTCCTTCCTTCTTCTTTTGCTGCTTCCTGCATTATTCAATATTTTGCCCATAGAATCTTTCAGTATTGCAGCTCGAGGCTTAAATTTTTCCCTCAGTTCTATCAGCTTGAGAAATGTGGAGGGTGTTCTTCCCTTTTGGTTTTCTAACTCCAGGTCTTTGCACATTTCATTTTAGTAATTGGCTTTGTCTGCTTGAGCTGCTCTTTGAAATCTTTTCACCTCTTTTATCTTGTCATTTCTTCCATTTGCTTTAGCTACTCTGCTCAAGGGCAAGTTTCAGAGTCTCTTCTGACATCCATTTTGGCCTTTTCTTCCTTTCTTGTCTTTTTAATGACCTCTTGCTTTCTCCATGGATGATACTCTTGATGCCATCCCACAGTTCTTCAGGTTTTTGATCATTGGTGTTCAATTCATCAGACCTATTAAGATGGTTTCCAAATTCAGGAGGGATATATTCAAGGTCATATTTTGGCTCTCATGGACTTGTTTTAATTATCTTCAACTTCAAGTTGAACTTGGATATGAGCAGTTGATGGTCTGTTCCACAATCAGCTCTTGGCTTTGTTTTGGCTGAAGATACTGAACTTTTCCATTGCCTCTTGCCACAGATGTAGTCAGTCTGATTCCTTTGTATTCCACCTGGTGAAGTCCATGTGTATAGCTGCCGTTTGTGTTGTTGGAAAAAGGTATTTGCAATGAATATGTTGTTGGTCTTGTAAAATTCTATCATGTGATCTCCAGCATTATTTCTTTCACCAATGCCAAATTTTCCAGCTACCGGTGATTCTTCTTTGTTTACAACTTTTGTATTCCATTCACCAGTGATAATTAACACATCCTGATTGCATGTTAAGTCAATTTCAGACTGCAAATATAGATAAAAATCTTCAATTTCCTCATCTTTGGCTTTGGTGGTTGGTATGTGAATTTGAATAATAGTATTAATGGGTCTTCTTGTAGCATCTGGATATTTTCCTATCACTGATAGCATTGTACTTCAGGACAGATCTTGAAACATCCTTTGTGATGATGAATGCCACGGCATTCCTCTTCAAATTGTGATTAGGGTAAGGGGGAAATGTGGAACAAAACTGAAAATCATAAAGACAGACCAGGATTACTGGTATGATAGAGACTGGTGAAATCCTCCGAGACTGTGGCTCTTAGTTACCCTTTGAGCATTGAATTAAATTTATTTCTGTGGCTTAACTTCCAGCCATGCAATAAACAGGCTTGGGAGGTGAACAGTTTCACCAGGTAGGTACAGTCCTTAGATCACTCAACCATGGGAGATAAGAAGCACTGTGTTTGTGCAGGGAAAAACCTCAGAAGGTGGGAATGCATAGCAAAGAAAGACATGGGGGGAAAAGTACCTATAGGGAGGAAGCAGGAGGAGAGTTGTTACATTGTGGGAATACAAACAATGTCCTTAAACAAAATGTTTATGGACTATTGAATGAAAACAAATTTGCTAACAAATTTGCTTGTAAACTTTTAGCCAAATCACACTTGTGGAAAAGGCAGCTTGGCATAGGGCCTTTTCCCAGAAAAAGTTTCTGGCATCCCCAATTGTAACTGGGTATAAGGTGCCTGGTATCAGAAAAAGTTCCTACTAATCCAAAAGGATACTGGGAGCAGGGTGCCTTGTCCCAGGACCAGTTGAAATTAACTGGTGGCTGTTTGTCCAGTTCGGGGTAGAATTCCTGCCAGTCTAGAAGGTGAGCAGGAGTGAGGGATGGCTACACCTCCGTTCACTGGGAGGGTATGGGGTTCCAGGGGAACAATAGTAATGTTGCACCTTTCTGGTCACCAGTCACCATTGTGGTTGCCTGCTCAGTCCTCAGCAAGCAGAGCTGATTGTCAGGTTGTTGCCTGGATTGGAACACAGCTTCCAAATATTAAGAATGGCCACACCATAAGGCCAGTCACAGTCCACAAGTCTGTTTGCCTCCTTATTTGATGTTCTCATTCAGTTTCTCCTACTAGTCAGTATGTAATCTGGTTCTTTAATCCTTTCCTGCAAAGCTCAGGGTCCCAGGATTATCTTCGATATGTGTTTGAATCGGTTTCTCATTTCTTTGTCATAGAGGATCTGAGTAGCTTGTCTCTCTATTCCGACATCTTGTTGGAAGTCCCTAATGTATTTTTTAAGTTATATTAGAGTAGTATGTTTTATTTTCTACTTAGGTTTTCTTTTTCCAAATATTAGGTATATGAAGCAATTGACAGCAGAGATGGGAGATCTTGTGCAGAGTTGGTATCTTTTAAGCATCCTCATGTTGCAAACCCACGGCTTCAAGTAAGTGGAAGAATCATGTATTCAGGTTTAGAGAGAATTGTCAGGTAACCAGCTTCTTATGAGTTTGAATGAGAAGAAAGTTATTATCTAAAGTGATAAGAACTTTTAAATTTGAAAATTTAAATGTTTGTAATTTAAGTAATTACAATTTAAATAATATTTATTTAGCACTGAATATGTCAGATGTTATAGTAAGATGTTGTTACTTGCTTGCGAGTTCTAAGATAGGTATCTTATTATATTTAATTTTTATAACTATTCTTTGAGATTCAGAAAGCTTAAATAATTTATCCAAAGGCATTCAGCTCAGTAGTTGTTAAGCTGACTCTAATTCAGACTTGTCTGTCTCCAGTGCCCATGCTGGCACCACTGTGGCACAGGTGGCACCACAGGGGTCTTCCATTTATTTTAATTCTCTAAATTGGATAACCCAACCTTCTTTCTGTGAGTAAATTTTTATCAGAATGCAAGCATGTCCTTTTCATTTATTATCTATGGCTGCTTTTGTTACAGTAGCACAGTTGAGTTGGTCCAACAGAGGTCTCATGGCCTGCAAAGCCTAACATATTTCCTATGTGGTTTTTAGGGAAAATATTTGCTGATATCTGCTCTAAAATGTCAAATTCTTACTTTAGAGGATAAATAATATCCAAACATTTTCTGTAGAAAATACTGAAATTTCATTGTCTTATTTCCTTACTGATTCTGTTATAATAGGAATAGTGTTCTTATTGGGCAGTGAAATTTTTCTTTTGGGAGAAAAAGGGGCTTTTATATTGGCAATTATATTTGGCAGTGGATAGGCTGTGCCTTAGACCAGTGGGGTGTGTGTGTGTGTGTGTGTGTGTGTGAGTGAGTGATGATTGGACTGGAGGTGGAAGGGGGCTTTTTTTTTAAGTTCCCTAAAAAAAAAAAAAAAACTTACTGCCATCGAGTCAATTCCTACTCATAGTGACCCCCTTTGGGGATTTCTGAGGCAGGAAATCTTCGTGGAAGTAGCTTGCCTAGTCGTCTTCAGCAGAGGGCTGGTGGGTTTGAACTGCTAGCCTTCTGGGTAGCGATCAAATGCCTTAGGCACTAGAGCTCCTTTTCGGTTTCCTAGGTGATTCTAATGTGCAGCCAAGATTGAAAACCATTGATTTTAATAGTCAGTGCCAGAGACTTGATTGGATGAATCAAGGTGGTGTTGTATGCTTAATATTGCTTTTTATCAGGAGACGAACTTTCCCATTTTTAATCTAAGATTGATCCCTTTGTTGTTAAATTTCCCACTATCCTTTTCATATAATGGTTTCATTCATTCATTGTAGAGTGGTGATTTTGGTGATTTTTCTGATGATATTATTTTTCTCTCCCATATTTATGTATGTACATATCATTCATTCTGTCATTATGGGCTCAATTTTTTTTTCCTAAATTCAGTGTGCCCTAATCCACTGTGACACTCAAATTATCTAAAATTTGGCTGTGTTGAGGAAAGAAAGAGTAAAAAATAAATTTCAGTTGCTCTAAGGACACTAAGAGGGATGATGCTATTAACCGGGAAGTTGAAAAGATATCTTTGAAGCAATAATTCCTAAAGTGGATTTTCTCTACCTTACTTTATTGTATTTGCATATAACAACATATAGTAGCTGCTTAATAAATATTTCTCAACTGACCATTAAATATTAGGATATATATGAAAGTGCGTAGAATATTACCTGGCCTGTAGTAGACAAAGTGAATCGTTTATGGGTTTCTAGTGTCATGTGCATAACCAATGCTTGATAAATATTTATTGAAGTAATGGCTTCTATTTAGAAGTGCTGAAGTTTAAAGTATTTATGTTAACTGCGAAGTATAACTTTTTGGAAACAGATTTGAATAAATCTCTTGCTACATGTTGAATTCTTTATATGCCTGTTACTTTCATTTTTGTAATTGTTCTTCTTATAACTTAGTTGCCATCACCAGAAGAGAAGTGTCAACATGTTTTGGAACCCCCTTATGATGAAATGTTTGCAGCTCATTTGAGGTAATACTTAGTGAGAAAGAAGAATAAACTGATGAGAAAATTGCTAAATTTATTAGGGATTTTATCTTATATGATCATATAATTGAAACAATGATAAATTTACTTTGACAATCTAGAAAAGTGCCTTTGTAATTTCACTTTGGTAAAGCCTGTGGAAATTGAGCCAAGTTATAAATACTTTAAAATTTTATTAAACTAATTTTCCAGTTCAAGCATCATGTGTGTTTTTAAAATTAAAAATAAATTGTGATTATGTATCTTTATGTATCTACTGTGTAATAGTATAAAAAGATCATGTAATTAACATTCATCATAGGGCTGTATAGTAAGTAGTCTTTCATTTAGTAGGGTAAGGGGCCCAACCACTGACTTGCTTTTTTCTTGGAAATATGTCTGTTTTTATCTTCTTTGCCCTACTAGGAAATAAACTAGAGCTAAGTGAAGCAAACAAAATACAACTTTTTATTTTGTATTTCCTTTTCTCATCTCTAAAGCATCATTTCATGCAAAATTTTGTGTACAAAAGTAGTGTGAAATTCAATTAACTTCCTGCCTGAATACTCAGTAGTGTTTCAGAGCAGGTTGGGGTAGAGGTGGGGCAAAGTGGGATAAGGAAGTACTTTTATAAGCCTTATAAGATATTTGGTAGAGTTGGGGCACTACTGTAATCATGCTAGCAATGAGGCAACCAGTGATTTTCTAACACTGTGCAGTGTTTGGTGGGATTCTAAATTTGATAGTGTGACTTTAGCTAGCCATGAACCTAATTAAAGCTTCATTGCCAACACAGTAATATGGTAAAAGGAGCTTACCAGGCTTTGTTTCTGTTGCACATAGGGATGCTGTGAATCCAACTGACTCTACAGCACCTAACAAAAGCAACATTTTATCAATTTATGTTGTTAATGAAACCTCTGGGATGAGATGTTTTTCAGGCACTTGAAAGAATAGTTTCAAAACTTAAATGTTAAATGTTAACCCATTTCAGTTCAGATACTCATTTGTGTGTTCTTTATCCTTTTACCCTTTCATTACCTGTCAGACAGGAAATTGCGTTTTTCATTCCATAATCAGTTGGAGAACAGGTGTATTATTTGACAGAAGTAAGATGTGTGGTGTAAATAGTTTTACTTCTAGGTTTTTAGTATAAATACAATTTCTGAGCTGTTCCTAATCCTCTGGCCTTTCTTTTACAGGTGTACTTATGCAGTGGGAAACCATGATTTCATAGAAGCATACAAATGCCAGACTGTGATTGTCCAATATCTTTTAAAATTTGTTTTAGCTGTTCAGTGTATAACAGATGCAGTACTTTATTTGGAGTATAAGATCTTGAAAGATTAGGCCAATTTTTCATACCTGTTATTAGAAAGAAATTAAAACCTTTTGGAAGAGAAACTCATTTTAGCTATTTCACTTCTGTACTTAAATTTAACATGCATGTTAAGACTAACATCTAGTTACTTAGATAGTAAAGTGGACCATTGGTTATGATTTAGGATTTTATTTAGTTTTGCTATGAAAAGGGTGTTTTTCTTTTCTTTTAGTTTTTATTAAGTATAGTTATACCAATTCCAAAACCAAACCCCTTGCTATCGAATCAATTCCTGCTCATTGTGACCTTATAGAACAGAGTACAACTGCACCATAGTTTGCAAGGCTGTAATCTTTATGGAAGCAGACTTCTACATCATTCTCCCATGGAAGTATAGGGACTAGATAAGGCTGTTTAAAATATCAGAATTTCTTAGTTTAGGCATCAATGGGCATGAGTGGAGTCAGATTTAATTGTCATTAAAGACCTTAATAAAATCTTTTCTTTACTCAAATCATTTTTAAGTGATACTTTATAGCTAAAGTCTCTAGACTTTAGTTTGCTTCTTTTTTAAAATTGTGATTTGGGTATAAGTTTACAGAGTAGTTTTCTTCATTTTTAACTATCTTATTTAATAGACCCAAAAAGAGTGGACTACTAGATAGCTAAGTCTCCTCTGAGTTCAAGAATTCAATATTTGAAATAAACTTAATGTTATAGATTTCTGAAGCACTTATATTTCACATGATTATCTAGGCTCAGAGAAACCAAATAAAATATTTGAAATTGTTGATTTTTAAAAACCTCATCACAGTGAATCATTTTATTTTTAATTTGGCAAAAGTATTTATGAAATAGATATATTTAGTATACTTATACTCAGTGATACTCAGATGTTAGTAATGTAGGATTATATATTTTTGTTTTGTTTTGTTCAAGAAATTAGTACTGCTTTGAACATAATTTCTAAATGGTGATCTATATCCTTTGTATTTAAAAATTCTTCCTACTCTTTATTGTTATCATATATCCCTTATTTTTTTAAATCATATGTAGGATTACTTGAATTTTGTATGTCATGTCTTCCTTAATAGAGTACATCATTCCTGCGAGCATTTCAGGCCCATAAAGAAGAAAACTGGTAAGTAAGAACAGAAAGCTATAAATTGGCAAATGGTGATTTTTCTTTTTAAATAAAAACTTTTTAAAACTTGGTTTTAAATAAATATATATTGTATTGTTTTCTTATGTGGATATTTAATGTTAATATGCTGACATATGATAACATCAATATGAATTATAGAGTTATAGTAGTCAATATAAAATTAAATGGCAGATCAGTCAGATTATTTGCAACTTTTAAAAAAATAAATAATGAAGTTCATTTTTAATCTCATTCTTTCCATCTACCTAAATATTGATTAAATACTATTTTCTTTGTCAATCTTGAACTTACTTTTGATTTTAAACATTGGATAAAAGAGGTAAATCAACTATAATTCTTTTGGTGTGATATGATATATAATAATTGGGTTATTTAAAATTCCTTGCCATACTAATTCTTAATTTTATGACATAATTTATTAACAAACCATATGTAAATACTGAAATTGGTTTATACTAAAGTAAAAGAAGCCTTTCAGTAAGTATTTTTTACTAAAAATAGTATCTTTCCCCTTTAAAGTGAAGACTTATCTTACACATGAAAGAAGAATCAATGCCACCAGCTGGAATTAAAAAATTGTTTTATGACATTTTGTGTATTACACACTCTGGTTCCTATTAAATCTTTATTAAACCAAATCTTCTTTTAGTAGCAATGTTTGAATGATAGTGGGAAGTGGAGGGAAAGGAGAATGTCCTAAGAACATCGCATGAAAAGGTGTCTCAGGTTCAGGATGAACTAGGTATAGGTCTACTGAAGAGAGTCAGGAATTTGCTAGGAAGGTCATTTGGGGAACAGGAGCGAAACATTTCATTATTTGGCCTATATGTGTTGAACAAGAAGCCCAGGACCTTCAGGCTGCTTTTAATGGAAGGTCAAGAAGGAAATACTGAAAAAAAAAAAAAAACCTCACTGCCCTTGAGTTGGATCTGACTCATAGTGACCCCTCCTTGGGTTTCCAAGGCAGTATCTCTACGGAAGTAGTTCGCCTAATCTTCCTTCCAAGGAGTGGCTGGTGGATTTTAACCGCCAGCCTTCTGGTTAGCAGTCAAATGCCTTAGGCACGATGCCACCAGAGCTCCCAAGGAAGGAAATAGTAACTCAGATTTTTGGAGAGGGCAGGGAACTCCCATTCTGTACAGTACCCCTGGGTCTTGGTATTATTTCCACCTCTGGTGATTGAAATCTCTGACTTGATAACCTTTTCAAATATATTTGCTTTTTTGCCTCACAGGGCTTTGCCTATTATGTATGCAGTAGCACTTGACCTTCGAATATTTGCTAATAACGTAAGTTTAATTTCCTGTCACTATTATTTTGAAACTAAACTGTGACTATCTGTTACTTAATTTCATGTCATTCTTTTAAAATTTTTTGAACAATGAGTGAAGGTTGGGATGTTTTTGGTATGGAGAGCAAAAAATAATAAATAAGGAATGTGTCATGGATTGAATTGGGCCCCCCAAAAATATATGTCATTTTTGCTAGGCCATGATTCTTAGTGGTTTGGCATTAGGTAATCATGTAGTTTGACAGTTATATAATGATTTAATCATCCCATGATGTGATCTAATGTGATTATGTCCATTTGTTATGTGTTGTAAAATCTGATATCTGTTTGATTGGGGTTTTGTATCTGTTAATAGGCAGGATTAGGTTATATTAATGAGCATTAAGTTATGTTTGTTATGCTAATGAGGCAGGTTTAAGGTGGGATCCAGCATCCTTACTCAGGTCACAGCCCTGATGAATCTGTAAGGGGAGTTTTCCTGTGGTGTGAACTGCATCAACTTTTATCTTACAAGAGATAACAAGTAAAGAAGGAGGGACCTACTACCACTATCATGGATTGAATTGTGTCCCCCATAAATATGTGTCAACTTGGCTAGGCCATGCATGTATCTCTCTGTGGTTTGGCAGTTAGGTAATGATGTGATGATTATCCTCTTTATGTGATCAGCCACGCCTGTAAGGGAATCAGGGTGGGATGCAATTCCCTTACTCAGATCAAAACCCTGATCTAAGAGGAGTTTCCCTGGTGTGTGGCCCGTATCACTTTTTGTTTTACAGGTGAGAAAGGAGAGAGAAAAGAGCAGAGAAGAGGGTACCTGACTACCACCAAGAAAGAATTGGGAGTGGAGCATGTCCTTTGGCCCTAGGGTTCCTGTACTGGGAACCTCCTAGACCCAGGGGAAGATTGATGCCAAGACATGGGGAGGTCTCCAAGGACCACTGGTCCCACAGATGTTGAGAGGAGACAAGGGCCTTCTTCCCTATTGGAGAAAAAGCGTTCCCCTAGAGCTAGTGCCCTGAATTTGAACTTCTGGCCTCTTAAACAGAGTGAGAATAAATTTCTGTTTGTTAAACCCATCCATTTGTGATTTTTCTGTTATAGCAGCACTATATAATTAAGACAGAATTTGGTACTGGAAGTGGAGTGCTGCTCTAACCGATACCTAAAATGTGGAAGTGGTTTTAGAATTGGGTAATAGGTAGAGACTTTAAGAGTTTTAAAGGGCCTTATAATAAAAGCCTATTCATAAGGTTTTCTGTGGCCAGTTTTTTCAGAAGTAGATGACCCTGTTCTTCTTCCTAGTCTGTCTTGGTCTGGAAGCTCTGCTGAAGCCACTCCACCATGGGTGACCATACTGGTATTTGTAATACCAGTGGCATGCCTCCAGCCTCACAGCTAATGTAAGCCACCACAGGATAACAAACTGACAGAGTATTAAGTGTTAAGGAGCAAAGATGTCACTTTGAAGACTAAGGTACACTTGACCAAGCAATGGTATTTTCACTCTCCTCATATGCATGTGAAAGCTGGACAATGAATTGTAGTTCTTGTTAGGTGATGTTGAGTCATCTCCGACTCATAGTGACCCTATGCACAGCAGAACAAAACACTGCCTGGTCTTGCACCAGCTCTGTGATCCGTGCTATACTTGAGCCCATTATTGCAGCCACTGTGTCAATCCATCTTGTTGAGGGCCTTCCCTTCCTTCGTTGATCCTCCACCTTACCAAGCATGACATCTTTCTCCAGGGAATGGTCCCTTCTGACAACATGACCAAAGTATGTGGGACAAAGTCTGCCCATTCTCACTTCCAAGGAATATTCTGGCTGCACTTCGTCCAGGACAAATTTGTTAGATCTTTTAGCAGTCCATGGCACTTTCAGCATTCTTCACCAGCACCACAACTCAAAAGCATCAACTTTTCTTCAGTCTTCCTTATTCATTGTCCAGCTCTTACATGCATAAGAGGCGATTGAAAATACCATAGCTTGTGTCAGGCGCCACTTACTCCTCTCCTCCTCAGCACTTGAAAGAAGTCCTTTGCAGACGATTTGCCCAGTGCTATATACATCATCTAATATCCTGACTGCTGCTTCCATTGCCGTCAGTTGTAGAACCAAGCTATGTGAAGTCTTCAATCTTTTGTTTTGTTTTCTTTATATTGAGATGTAATCCATACGACAGACTGTATTCTTCAGTCTTCATCTGGGAGTGCATCAAGTCATCCTCACTTTCAGCAAACAAAGTTGTGTCATCAGCATATCACAGATTGTTAATGATTCATCATCCTCTCGTCCTGATACCATGTTCTTCTTCATATCATCTAGCTTCTCAGATTATTTGTTCAGCATACAGATTGAATAAGTATGTTGAAAGGATACAACCCTGACACACTCCCTTCTTGATTTTAAACCATGCAGTATCCCCTTGTTCTGTTCAAACGACAGCCTCCTGGTCAATGTACAGATTCCTCATGAGTACAATCAAGTGTTCTGGAATTCCCATTCTTCTCATGGTTACCCATAATTTGTTGTGATCCACACAATAGAATGCTTTTGCATAGTCAATAAAACACAAGTAAACATCTTTCTGGTATTCTTTGCTTTGAGCCAAGATTCATCTGACATCAGCAATAATATCCGTCATTCCACGTCCTCTTCTGGATCCAGCTTGCATTTCTGAAGTTCTCTGTCAATATACTACTGCAGCCATTTTTAAATTATCTTCAGTAAAATTTTACTTGTATGTGATATTAATGATACTGTTCAATAATTTGCACATTCTCAGGGATCACCTTTCTTTAGAATGGGTACAAATACAGATCTTTTCCAGTCAGTTGGCCAGGTAGCTGTTTTCAAAATCTCTTGGCATAGCCCAGTGAGTACCTCCAGCAGGGCATCCATTTGTTGAAACCTCTCAATTGGTATTCTGTCAATTCCTGGAGCCTTGTCCTTCACCACTTCCTTCAGTGCAGCTTTGACTTCTTCCTTCAATACCACTGGTTCTGGATCATATGCCACCTCCTGAAATGGACAAAGATCGACCAGTTCTTTTTGGTACAGTGACTCTGTATATTCCTTCCATCTTCTTTTAATGCTTCATGAGTCATTCAGTATTTTGCCCATAGAATCTTTCAGTATTGCAACTCGAGGCTTAATTTTTTTTCCTCAGTTCTTTCAGCTTGAGAAATGCCAAGCATGTTCTTCCCTTTTGGTTTTCTAACTCCAGGTCTTTGCACATTTCAGTAATTGGGTTTGTCTGCTCAAGCTGCTCTTGGAAATCTTCTGTTGAGCTCTTTTATTTTGTCATTTCTTCCATTTGCTTTAGCTACTTTCTGCTCAAGGGTAAGTTTCAGAGTCTCTTCTGACATCCATTTTGGTCTTTCTTTCTCATCTTTTTAATGACCTCTTGCTTTCTTCATGGATGATGCTCTTGATGTCATCCCACAATTCTTCTGGTTTTCAGTCATTGGTTTTCAATGCATCAAATCTATTCTTTAGATGGTCTCTAAATTCAGGAGGGATATATTCAAGGTCATATTTTGGCTCTCGTGAACTTGTTTTAATTGTCTTCATCTTCAAGTTGAACTTGGATATGGGCAGTTGGTAGTCTTTTCCACAGTCAACTCCTGGCCTTAGATATTGACCTTTTCCATCACCTCTTGCCACAGATATAGTCAGTCTGTTTAATGTGTACTCCATCTGGCGAAGTCCACATGTATAACCATCTTAGTGTTGTTGAAAAAAGGTGTTTGGAAGGAATAAGTTGTTGGTCTTGCAAAATTCTGTCATGCAACCTCCGGCATTATTTCTATCACCAAGGCCAAATTTTCCAACTACTTCTTTGTTTCCAACTTTTGTATTCCAATCACCAGTGATAATTAACACATCTTGATTGAATGTTCGGTCAATTTCAGACTGCAGAAGTTGAGGAAAATCTTCAATTTCATCATCTTTGGCTTTGGTGGTTGGTGCATAACTTTGAATGTTGTTGTTATGTGCCTTTGAGTCAGCCCTGACTCATAGCGACCCCTCCTTGGGTTTCCAAGGCAGTATCACTACGGAAGTAGGATTGCCCAACCTTCCTTCCGAGGAGTGGCTGGTGGGTTTGAACCGCCAGCCTTCTGGTGAGCAGGCAAGTGTCTTAGCCACTATGCTACCAGAGCTCCCTAACTTTGAATAATAGTAGTATTAACTGGCTTTTCTTGTAGGCATATGGATATTTTCCTATCACTGACAGCATTGTACTTCAGGACAGATCTTGAGACATCCTTTGTAATGATGAACGCCATTGTTCCTCTTGAAATTGTCACTCCTGGCATAGTAGATCATATGGTTATCTGATTCAAAATGGCCAAAACCTGTCCATTTCAGCTCGCTAATGCCTAGGATATCAGTCTTTATGCATTCCATTTCATTTCTGACAACTTCCAGTTTTCCTAGTTCATACTTTGTATGTTCCATGTTCTAATTATTAATAGATGCTTGCAGCTTTTTCTCCTCAATTTGAGTTGTGCCACATCAGCAGATGGAGGTCCCAAGAGCTTTACTTTATCCATATTATTAAGGTTAGTTCTGCTCTGAGGAGGCAGCTCTTCCCCAGTTGTATTTTGAGTGCCTTCCGACCTCAGGGGCTCATCTTCCTGCACTGTACTGGACAGCATTTCTGGGCTATTCATAAACTTGGCTAGTGATGTATCAGACAGTGTTTCACTGCTATTCATAAGGTTTTCCCTGTCCAATTCTTTGAGAAGTGGATGACCTCTCCCTTCTTCCTAGTCTGTCTCAGTCTGTAAGTTACGTTGAAACATGTGCATCATGTGCAACCCTGCTGACGTTTGAAATAATAACAGTGAATAAGGAAGACCAAAGAATTGATGCCTTTGAATTGTGGTGTTGGCAAAGAATACTGAAAACACCATGGACTGCCTGAAGAACAAATAAACCTGTCCTAGAAGAAGTGCAGCTGGAATGCTCCTTGGAAGTGTGAATGGCC